TTTATAAATGTTCAAAAATATTACTTTTTATCGAAAATATTCTTGCTTTACATAGAATATATATCTTTGGAGAAATGGAAATTTTATTGCGACGAATCAAACCAGAGAAAATTACTGAAGACGTTTATTAACCATTCTTATTACCTGGTCTGTACGCCATGGCTTGGAACAACTGCGAGCTCCGCAACGCATCTGGTGCCACTGTTTCAGATACAGCTACCGCAAATAGGCCACGATAAATACGATTTTATTATGCAATCTCCATCCAAGACAGGATAGAATTGTCTCTGGCGGTATTATTGTGACATTATTGTGTTATCCTATTCTCTATAAACAAAATTACATTGTAATTAATTTTCACTCGATCACCCTATCACATTCGAGGGTTAAACATTCGATCCGATTATCGCGTGCCATCATCATCATTGTCGTCGTCGTTGTTGTTAAATCGCAGTGAAACAAGTTGAATGGCACCAATAATTAACGAAAGGTACAGATGAAACAACAGATCATTGCATCGTTTACATGTAATTGGAAGCGATGAGCACAGCTTGCATGCTTGCATTCACACAAAACATAATTGCACATTATAATGAACATCTGAAACGAAAATTCGATTATTTATTTTGGAAATTAATTAAAATTCAGAACGGAACACGAAATGGACACGATTAATTAGGGATTGGATGAGTGTGTTTGACATCTAACAACGAACAGAAATTTAACTAAATTTAATTAATTCGAAATTTTTTAACTGTGAGTTGGGGTTGATTCGTCGTGGGATGAATGAATTTTCATTAAATATTCTCCAACGATGTATACCTATTTCTCTATTTATTTTTAAACAGAAAGAGAATACATCGAAACTGTAGATATTTATAAATTTAAGTTGTATTATTTATTTCGCGCGAAGAAATAATTTTTCAAATATCGCCCATCGTTTGTTCCCACTTGCTTCGTCTCTTCATCAATTTATGTAACTTTTAGAATTGTATAAACGATTAAACGCAAAGAGAAAGAAAGCATAAAGAAAAAGAGAGCTCCGACGAAAAATATTTTTCCATCTTTTTTAAAATCTTATTCAATGGAATATTTATAGTCAATCAAAAATAAACCTTGAACAGGAGTTCAATTAACGAGATGTTATGAAAATCAATAGTAACTTTATTTTATAAAATATGAAACTGGTGAATATATTTAATTCTGTTCGTATTAGATTAAGGGAGCAAAACTCTAATACATCGGGTTATTTTATTATTTTATCGAATATATTTCCACTTTATAGAAAATATTCCCAGGCTGTATTTGAGAAATGAAAAGATGATAGAAATTTAAGAGTTGATTTCACGAAGATACTCAAAGAAATTTTCCAAAATTGCTGCATGTATAACTATACTCCACACAGTTTCTCTACGATAGATCACATATACGAGACAAGCTTCGCAGGCTCGATTCCAAAAGATAAAACTAGAAAAATTGATGTACAAAAATATCGATTAAATTCTATTCATTAATAATTATAAATAATTAAAATTCAGATGAAACGAGACAGACTAACCCTTATATATACCGCAAATAATAAAATCATCTTACTCCATTCATTACTCTCGTTTCATCCAACGTAAACTTTAATTCCTCACGATTTCAAACCAAATAAATATATATATATATTCAAACCATATATATATATATAACTCTTTTACCATTTCTCTTTACCTACAATCCTACGCCTTTCAATTACTGTTCAAGCAGCCTATAACGAACAGCCAGATTTCCAACGGTGGGCGCAAAAATTTTATTTTTATCGCGCCATCTAATCGACAGTTTTGTTTTTTCCTTGAAAAAGCCACGGAACCAGATGCGCCGGCGAGGTAGCGGCGGCCCGGGACAACGGGGTGTGCGGCGTGGGCGTAGCTTACGACTCGAAAGTAGCCGGGATCCGAATGTTGGATCAGCCTTACATGACCGACCTGATCGAGGCCAACAGCATGGGCCACGAACCTGACCTCATAGACATTTATAGCGCCTCATGGGGGCCGACCGACGACGGGAAAACCGTGGACGGGCCGCGAAATGCGACCATGAGGGCCATCGTGCGCGGCGTTAACGAGGTGTGTATCAGCGTCACCAGCCTCCTTGCCCGGATCCTTTTACCCTCCTCCTTTTATTCAAGGGAAGGGATTCATCCTCGCGACGTTTATTTCTTTCCAAATTCTGTGAGCCCAGGAATTTTCGTTGCTTGAAATATAACGATAAATTATTATATTATTGGTTCTATTGAATCGGTTAAATTTAGAAAAATAATTGGCAGGTAACAAAATTGTGTATGTATGGAAAAAATGTATATATTGTATCCAGTGTATCGTTGACCTGAAACAATGGCGATGAGAGCGCTCTGATTTCTCGTGAGAGCGAACTTGGATGCTCTGCGTGGCGATAATTTTGTAGAAACAATAGGCCTAGTAATTTTTGTGCTGATACTTGCCATCCATCTTTCACTTGTGTTCCATCGATCTCACAGAGGTGAGAACGAATCGATCGTGGCGATTCATTGCCATTGGTCACGTGATCTGTACCGGTACCTTTCTGTTATCTCGAAAGTTTTCGAAGTACAAAGCGAGATATTGGCAAATCAGCAAACCAGTGAGAGACCGTTTTCACGGTGGAATTGCTGTCGTTTTGTCATCGACGTTACTCGACGACGAACTTTTCGACTCGAGTGATTTATCTTGGAGCCACGTTACAACGTATCATTCTCTCAAAAGTTTGTCTTTCTGTTAACTTTTTACTTAAGAGTTTTAACTCGAACCGTCTGTGAAATTTATCGAGACAGAGAGAGAAATTCTAACGAGATTTCGCGTGATAAAACTTGGAGGTTTCGCTAAGTTGCAAAGCCAAAACTTTTCCCCCTTTTCGTCTCGCAAGTCTTTGGGACTTGCTTCATTCCTGCTATTAATTCATTAGCAATAATAATTGTAATTTGTTTGTTCATTAGTAATAACATTGTACGTAGTATTTTGAGATATTATTTCTATGATATGATCCAACAAAAATTAAAGAACGTGCTTCCATTTTGCTGGAATTGCTTGAATAGTTCAAGTCACGTATCTTCGGTATGAAATATTCTTATGCTTTCGTATTTTCCTTGTATTCTCAGAGATTTCTTTTCTATTTATTTTTTATATTTTTCCCTTTCCATCTTCATCCATTCATTATATCCACCAACCACGCGTCGCAAATTGTATTTTTCACGCGTCTAACCTACTTTACTCGATTCTCATTACGTTTGTTCTTCATCCATCTCGTTTTATTTTCATCATTTCTAGCTTCATCGTAATCTCAAACGCGAATCAAATAAATTTGATTTGGGCGACACGCGGAAAATTTTTTCAAAAATTTTTTTTCTCTCTCGGAGCGGAGAGAGAAATCTTCTCTCTTCTTTTTCCTCACCGGGGATAGAAGGAGAGCGACGGATAATAAAGGTAACTTCGTACTTAACGTCACGGTGAAGCGATGCCCTAATTAACTTCGTGATTGCGCCGCGAATTTCTGACGGTCGTTACATCGACGGAAGTCGTCCCACGTCGCTCTTAAGCCGCGTACAAACAAAGTATCTACCCCTTCGTGACTACCCCCATCGATCCTCCTTTGATCGTTTCTTTCCATCAACCCTCAATCAATATTACGTCATACGGGGAGGGAAGAATTTTTTTCTCTCACGAAGCCTTCGATCAACGAGGCTTTAAAATTAAAATTTTAATCAGAGAGGATAAGAATTCGAGTCGAACAAGTTGGAACAAGGGAGATAACGTTTTAAGAGAATTTTACAAAAGAATCATATATGAATAACGAAGGTAGAATCGAATCTCTTAATACGTGGTTGGGATTTTAAAGAGGGAAGCTCTCACGTAACCGCGGTGATTAAATTTTTTTTCAAGAAAGAAATTTTCGAAATAGCCGATAATTGCTTCGAGTTCGAATCGATGCACGATTTTTCTTTCAAAAGGAGAATGATTTTTTTTTAATAAGATGACTCTTATTAACTGTCAAGATAATTAAATCGTATTAGATGCACGTTTGTTACATCGTCGTCGTTACGACGATTGTTTTAACAATTTACGAGGAGATAGATGGAATCGAAACGTTTATTTCTCTTGATAGTTGGATTATTATCGGTTAATTCGAAATGCAATTTACTAGAATCTGATCGAGTTATCCGAGGATCGCAGTTGGGAGCCGAGATCGATACGAGATTGACGTGAAATTGTTGATTATACTCTTTGCACACGGATGCGACTAATTAATCTAACTAATCAATTTCCTTCGTATACGTATTATTCCTCCTGTCCCTCCTTATTTCTACGAATATATCTCATATTTTCTCGTTCGAGAAACGGATAAAGCGTTAATTTTTAATTAATTCTCCATCGGAAACTTTCTCCATCTTCTAATTATGCGATGCTGCGACGATGTTCCCCCTTCGTAGTGGTGGAGAGGCCAATCGATAAGTGTCAAGATCAGCTCTCAGATATTTCCCCGTTCGAGAGAAACGCCACTGCCGCTCTCGTTTCGGAATTTCTCCTTAATAACTACTCGTCACACACACACACACACACACACAAAACTTATGACAGATCGTTACGTTCCAAGAGACAGCCAATGAAATTCACTCGAGGATGAAATTGTCGGTGAAGAAATAAATAAATAAATAAAAAAGAAAAAAAACACTATGTAATAAAAAACCATGTATCTCATCTCACACATTTTCATCTCACACGCGAGAAAATATTTTTGAAATTATTTTCAAGTAGAATCCAAGTAGGGGAGAAATGTAATATTGGATCCAGATCGAATTAATTATTTCTATTTTTGCGTGTCGAAGGGTCGAAGAGGACTGGGCAACATTTACGTGTGGGCCTCTGGTGACGGTGGCGAGGAGGACGATTGCAATTGCGACGGTTATGCGGCCAGTATGTGGACCGTCAGTATTAATAGCGCCATCAACGATGGGCAAAACGCTCATTACGACGAGAGCTGTTCGAGCACCCTGGCTTCCACGTTCAGCAATGGTGCCAAGGATCCCAATATTGGAGTGGTGAGTGGCCTCGAACAACATTCGTTCCATCCCATCTTTCTTCGAAACGTAATTCGATTTTAATGAATTTGCGACGGTTAAACAGTGTACAGATTTCCCTGTAGCTGGGAACAACTTCAGAATTACAGTTTGATCTCGAAACTTTCGAAATATTCCTGGCAAATATATTCAAAGATAAAGACTTTAACGTCTCTCTTAACATATTTGGTTATATTAGCTACTTTCAAGAGAAATAGGGCAGGGCATCGTCCAAGATTAATCATAATCTTGGGACGAAACAAATTGTTTAACTTTTAACTTTAAGATACTTATTACAAATGGAAAACTTGTAAAATTTTCCTAAGATCATTACGTGCCACTTTATTGTACATAAAATAATAAGCTAAGTATTGGAGGAATTTTGATGAGTTATGATAGTTACGATAACAGTTATCCAAGTATTTCGAATACGAGTGAATTTCAATTTCGTTGGTTAAATATGCGAGGATTGGAATCAAAGTGAAAATGAACAAACCGCCACTTCTCAGTGTATAATCTGAATAAATCGTACAATATTTTTGGAAAAAAATTTCTTCTACAAATCTCGAATATCGCATATATTCGATAATCACGACGTATATAATTATTTTCGAATAAACGAACAACGATTTTTTATTTTTCGACGTAGCTGGATAATGGCTGCCGGCTCTGCTGGTAAATAGTCGGGACAAAGGCCATTCTCTAATTAGAGTGGATACGGTGGAAGGTTCCAGGTCAACCGATGTACATATATAAGTTTCCCTGATTTCACGAGGCGGAAATGTCTCTGGGCAAAAGTTATTAACGCGTTGGAAACGAGGGATCGAGAAAATCGACTGGGGTCGAAATGAATCGCGACAAATATATTTCGCGACATAAATATTCCGTTTTTGTTCTCCCGCGCCATTAACGCATTGATTTATTAGAAGCGTGGAGGATATGATTGGCGATCGAACCTGAAGTTGCGAAACGAATATCGCGTTTCGATTATTAATGGCGATACGATCCCGATACGATGATCCCTCTCGTGCACTTTCGAGGAAGAAATCAGACTGGAAGAATAAAAATTGGGATAGAATATCGCGTGACGAAGGAAAAATTTCGCGAAACGAAAGTGTGGTTAATCATATATAATTAAGAAAATTAATTTGTTTTTTTTTATGGTTCGTGATACACACGAGTAAAGATAAGTATCGTTTGGTTAAAATTTCCATTCTCTTTCTTTTTTTTTTTTTTGATATAATCTAGATCTCTGTAAAATTTATTTACGAGTTTTTTAATTTTACTTAAAGGAAGAAAAATTTTGTATGATATTTTAAATTATATCTTGGAAAGCAACTATAGGTAGGATAGTTGGTTTTATTCAACAAAAAAATAACGAGTGAAAAAATACTGACAAGTGCATAGTGGAAAATCAGAGAATGTTTTAATCTATAGTGTTTAGCAATCACTATAGATTGCCATTGATATGACGATTATTCAAACTTAACAATTGATACGTTTTGCAAGAATTCGAATCCTGTTGGTATAATATAAGCCAGGGAAATACGAGAACTCGCGATTACTCAGCGGGGACATGTTTATTCTAGTAAATTGGTGTTCGTTTAAATAAAATGGGAGGAAAGAGCGAGCCATAGATCGATGGAAATTTTCATTTGTATTAGATTTTATCGTATTCGTTTCGTATAGTGAAATCGTTGTTATTGATGGTTTTTAATCAGATTCGGAAGAGATAGAGATAGAGAAAGAGAGCGAGAGAGAGAGAGAGAGA